AGTACTTTACACTGTTTGCTAAATCTCTTGTTTTCACATGGAGTGATTTCAGTGTGCAGGTTTAGGACCAGTCCCTCCAGAATTTTCCAGGTGTAAATTCTGATGTACCTTTATTGCCTACATTCCAAGGGAAAACAGTTGAAGGGATTTCAGGCATTCCCAGTATCTCAGATGTTTGAGTGTTATGGGCAGTTTAAGTTCTGTATGTTTTCTGGCTCAGTGATCTCGCCTGCCTTGAAAGGAATTGTTAGTATACAGTAGTATTCCAACCCGAAGAGAACAAGTTGACTTGAAGAGAATCATCATTGACTCAGCATACCTTGTCTTAAAAGTTGTAATTATCCAACTTATCATTTTTCATTGCTGTATCAATAGCAAAATTGTTGTGATCCTTGAATGTAAGATCTGACATCATCACTCTCAAGTCTTGCACATGACATGTCCTCTCTGTTAAATGATTTGAGTTCGTCCTATACAGCGTTTCTGTCTTTATTTCCTCATTGAGCACTGTAGACATTCCAGGCACTAAACCAACATTTCCTCTCTTCATTAATCATGTCTCCAGGCTTCTATATTACACATGCCTTCTATTTTGAATTCATCCCACACAAAAAATCGAAGATTACCTACCCCTATTTATCAGATAATAAAATATAACTTGGAATGATTGTTTATGGTTTAGTGTGGTACAGCCAGTGTAGTAGACCCAGTGTAGTAGAACTAAAAGCAATGAAGGGAAGGAAAGAACTGTGGTCATGTCAGACATAATAGCTATCACTGAAACAAAGTTGACAAATGAACTGATGAAAGGAAAAAGATGAGTGATGCATTGAGGCATCTGTGGCAACAAAGAGGGAAATGTATGAGAGTATAGTGGTTCCATCACTATTATATGGATGTGAAGCATGAGATGTAAGCATTGCAGCGAGGAGGAGACTGTAGGCAGTAGAGATGTCATGTCTGAGTGCAATGTATGATGTAAATATTATGCAGTAAATTCTTAGTTTGGAGACCAGGAGGAAGTGCGGAGTTCCTAAAAGTATTATCCAGCAAGCTGAGGAAGGGTTATTGAGGTGGTTCATTATTTAGAGAGGATGAAGCAAAATAGGATAACTTGGAGGATGTATAAATTTGTAATGAAGGGAAGGCAGAGTAAGGGTTCTCTTAAGAAAGGTTGGAGGGAGGAGGTATATGAAGTTTTTGTGTGCAAGGGGCTTGGACATCCAGCAGGTATGTATGAGTATGTTAGATAAGAGTGAGTGGAGGCAAATGGTTTTTGGGACCTGATAAACTGGTGGAGCAAAGGGATTCAGGGAAACTGGTTAACGGGACTCAAGTCCTGGAGGTGGGAAGTACAGTGCCTGCGCCCTAAAGGAGGGGTGGAGATGTTTACTGTTTAGAGTCATTAAATAGTACTGATTTCTATTATATCGTGTGCCTCAGACAAACAGTGATAGTGGTGAGATGTGGAAATTGGGCCTTTTTATCAGGTAACTGCCTTAGTGGGCTACTTATATTATAATCAGAGGGGAAAGCGCTAAACCCGTGGCTATACAGCGCCTGGGGGTGATGTGGAAGGCATCAGGCTTTTATTCGGGAACTGTAGCATGGATCATATTACCTATAATCAAGAGCCCCTCACCAACATCAAGGAACCTTCCTTGAGGGGCCTTAGTGGGAGACAGCCAGCGTTAAATATAAATATTTTTTTAGTTGGTGGGTGTATATCACTGCAGCTATTATGAGTATTCCCAGTCATAACTGAGCAAACTTTGAAATTGTTTTCCTCTAGTCTGTTTATTTCTTTCAGCTCCTCAAAACCCCATTGATCTCTAATTATTAGTGCTGCTCTTCTTCCCCAATGTCTACTGGCTTTCCTTAACACTTTGTATCTTGCTGGAAATTCAGCATCTGATATCATTCATCAACTTTGTCTCAGTGATAGCTATTATGTCTGGCATGACCATAGTTGTTCTTTCCTTCAGTTCATTGCTTTTGTTAGATAAATCATCTGCATTAATATACCACACTCTTATATTACTTTCCCTTATCATGCACTAGTTTGTCTACCCCTGCTTCAAGATGCTTATCAAACAGGAGTGGGGGAGGTTGGGCTGGGGTTGATGTGGGTCTTTGAACTTGAGGAGGGATCAAGGATTTGGTTGAGGGCAGGGAAGGGGATAGGGAAGGCTGTATGGAAAAGGCAAAGGGTGGGGGGGAGGGGGGGAGCAGGGTTGGTGTTTCTGATAGTGCTGGAGTGGTGGGGACTGGCCTAGAGGTGGTCCAGCTAGGAAAGGATTGAGGTGGCATGTGGAGGAATCCCCGAGTTAAGGGCATTCCTATCTCCTGCTGGTCATCTCTGTTCTCGGTGGATTTTTACACACTTCCTTAGCTGTTCTCTCTCTTGTCATTGTCCTGTCTCATTCTAGGTAGACATGACTGTGGCATTGCCAGGTCTTTAGGCATGCTTTTGTCATAATATCCTGTCCCATGCTATATGGGACCAAGAGGTTAATTTGACCAGGAAGTGTTTGCCATGGGAAAATCTGAGCCTTTAAAATCTGCCATCTGCTTTTATCATTTCTTCTCCTGTATAACCCATTATTATTACAATCAAAGCCAAGTGCTAAACCCAGTAACCCATAACTGATATTATCTCCTGTTCCCCATCTCATACTACCTGGGCTATTATTATTATTATGAAAAAAAAGTGCTAAACCTACAGGGGTCATGCAGAGCAGACTACCTGGGCTACCTTCAGACTTCTGGAGTCCATGGATCAATGTCCTTCCTCTTCCTCCCATTGCCTCTCCTTTCAGATTTCTTTGTCTTTTTTAACCATTTACCTTGTTGTCTCCATTACATTAGCCACCCTATCTTCAAGGAGCATCATTGCCAGTGACCTTCCTTCATTGTTCTCTCCCAATCCCTGGACTCTCCTTCCTTCACCATTTCTGCCCCTGCTGACCTTTCACATTTCCTTCATGGTCTCCTCAGCTTTCTTACTTCCTCTTCTAGGTTGAATACTTTGTCTTCTGCTAAATCAGCCCTATTTACCTGTATTGCAACCTCTTCCCTAACTTTGTTACATACTGCCACTGATTCCTCTTGGAAGAAGTTGAAATGCCTTTCAAAAGCCTCCCTCTTTGTTCCTTCTAGTCTTTTTCCAGTTTTAGGGCTCTTTGAACACAGATAAGAAAAGTTAAGTGGCCTGATCACTTTGAGCAAGTCAGATTTTTTATCAGTGGAAAGTATATTATTTTTTTTTCCATGTCGGTCATCTCCCACCGAGGCAGGGTGACCCAAAAAGAAAGAAAATCCCAAAAAAGAAAATACTTTCATCATTCAACACTTTCACCTCACTCACACATAATCACTGTCTTTGCAGAGGCGCTCAGATATGACAGTTTAAAAGTCAACCTCCAAACTGCCAATATCCCAAACCCCTCCTTTAAAGTGCAGGCACTGTATTTATCATTTCCAGGACTCAAGTCCGACTAACCAGTTTCCATAAATTCCTTCACAAAATATTACCCTGTTCACACTCCAACAGCTTGCCAGGTCCCAAAAACCATTCGTCTCTATTCACTCCTATCTAACACACTCATGCATGCTTGCTGGAAGCCCAAGTCCCTCTCCCACAAAATCACCTTTACCCCTTCTCTCCAACCTCTTTGGGGCCAACCCCTACCTCACCTTCCTTCCCCTACAGATTTATATGCTCTCCAAGTCATTCTACTTTGATCCATTCTCTCTAAATGACCAAACCACCTCGACAACCCCTCTTCAGCTCTAATTCTTTTAGTAACTCCACACCTCCTCCTAATTTCCACACTCTGAATTTTCTGCACAATATTTACACCACACATTGCCCTTTGACAGGACATCTTCACCTCCAGCTGCCTCCTCACTGCAGTATTTGCAACCCAAGCTTCACACCCATAAGAGTGTTGGTATCACTATACTCTCATACATTCCCTTCTTTCCATAAATATACATCTGCACATGCATGCATACATAAAAAGCATTTACATATTTAAGTAGAGCTTTAAGGCACCAAGACTACTTAATGCAATAATTAGTAAATTTCACTGCCCCTTTGCATAACAAAATACAAACTGTATATTTTTTTTGTTGTTTTTTTTCAACAAGTCGGCCGTCTCCCACCGAGGCAGGGTGACCCAAAAAAGAAAGAAAATCCCCAAAAAGAAAATGCTTTCATCATCATTCAACACTTTCACCACACTCACACATAATCACTGTTTTTGCAGAGGAGCTCAGAATACAACAGTTTAGAAGCATATACATATAAAGATACACAACATATCCCTCCAAACTGCCAATATCCCAAACCCCTCCTTTAAAGTGAAGGCATTGTACTTCCCATTTCCAGGACTCAAGTCTGACTATATGAAAATAACCAGTTTCCCTGAATTCCTTCACTAAATATTACCCTGCTCACACTCCAACAGATCGTCAGGTCCCAAGTACCATTCATCTCCATTCACTCCTATCTAACATGCTCATGCACACTTGCTGGAAGTCCAAGCCCCTTGCCCACAAAACCTCCTTTACCCCCTCTCTCCAACCCTTTCGAGGACGACCCCTACCTAGCCTTCCTTCCCCTATAGATTTATATGCTTTCCATGTCATTCTACTTTGATCCATTCTCTCTAAATGACCAAACCACCTCAACAACCCCTCTTCTGCCCTCTGACTAATACTTTTATTAACTCCACACCTTTTCCTAATTTCCACACTCCAAATTTTCTGCATAATAATAATATAATAATAATAATATATGGAGGCAAAGAAGGGAATGTATGATAGTATAGTAGTACCAACACTCTTATATGGGTGTGAAGCTTGGGTGGTAAATGCAGCAGCAAGGAGACGGTTGGAGGCAGTGGAGATGTCCTGTCTAAGGGCAATGTGTGGTGTAAATATTATGCAAACTGTATATATTAATATCTAAAACAAAATGGGATAAATAAAATACATTATCATATACAGTACTACACTGCAGTGTCTTTAATTTTTTAATTTTCTGTGGCAAAAAAAGAAAAGCTTGATACTTAACCAAATTGTGCCACACCTATTGATTATTTAACCTAAGACTGATTCAGTGCCAAAATTTCAGAATTTTCAGAATTTCAAATGGCATAAAAATGAGTCGGGAACACACAAACAGACTCGACTAACCTGAAGATACGTATTACAGATTTTGCAAGGTAATAAAATAATGAAAATTTCATATATATAATTTTTTTTTATACCTGAATCTTAAAATGGAATAGTACTTTTACAAATAAAAACAAGGCTACAATACACAAAGAACCCAAACATAGGAGACTGAAACTTATGACAATGTTTCAGTTAAATTTGGACAATCAACTAGTCTGTTGTGTGACTGTTCAATGGTTCAAATTGGACCGAAATGACGTCATAAGTTTTAGTCTCCTATATGTGGTTTATTTGTGTATTGTTTGTCACAGTACTGCCTTTTTCATTATTCTTTTAAAAAAGCTACCTTTAAACAGTTTAAAGGGTTTAAAAACACAAACCTATTAAAGATTTTCTCAAAATATCAAACAAAATATGTATACAGAAATCTTAATTTTTAACAAAATCATGGTGCCTTATTATACCTACTAGGGAATCTAATTAGGAAAAAAAAATATGAATAAAGTGCCATAGCAAATATTCCTAGTACATGTTAAATGTCAAATAGTCAAAATTATTTGATAATAAGGACCTCTACAACTACCAATAAAGAAAGAGTTCAGTTTAAATGAACAGGAAAAATAAAATCTTTAAATCTATATACAATGTATATTAATTTTTGTCACACTATTCAGATGTGTAAAACAAACACTTCACTTGTTCAAAAATCATTTGTATGTGATAAAAAGAGATACTTGACAGAGATACTTGCATACCTACTACACCATGTTAAAAGGTACAAAAGTAAAAACAGTATTGCATGGCACTATACTACACAGACTTCAACAATATATTTACAAAGTGTGAGGTAGAGGCATCACAAGATCACTCTGTAACTTGGCTAAGCTGTATAACCTACTTTCCAAACACAATTCAGTTATATTTAATGTGTATCAGAAATGGGAATTGATCAAGAGAGCTGTCTGACTGACGAAAGAGTTGAGCATGTTGCCAGGCATTTTCTCCTTGACCATTTAAAAGACGTGCTGATAGTTCAATTATTGATGCCTCGTGCTCCAAGTCACATTGGAAAAGCTCCAGTACACCTTCTGGAAAAAGATATTTATTTTCAGTCCAGTTTTTATATAAATAAAAATTACAGTAAAACACATTTACACAAAATGTAATTATAAATGAGAAATAAATTATTACCCAAGAATTTAATTATTTATGGTTCCATATAATTCTGTCTTATGCTCAGGCTAAAATGTCTGAACTCAAACTATAAAACTCAAAAAATAAAGGTTAGATACTACCAATTAAATCTACACCATTTTCAAATCTTTTCCCTCTAAATAATACAAATATTGCAAGAAAAGCATACAGTGCCCAATTCTTTCCTGGACATAATGCACTAACCGGATACACTAACTAGATAAAGACAAGTAAGAAATTAATATACCAATGCAGTATAAGGTAATAAAAAGAATCTAAAAAGAGCATAATAGATGAAAGTTTAAATTAAATCTCTTTTTCAAATTTGTAAATAAAAAATTAATGTTAAACAGAAAATACAACAAAATCTCACATTTCATGTGGGTTATGTTCCTGAAAACTGGTGTATTGCATAAAGTCACAGTACAGTGGACCCCCGCATAACGATTACCTCCGAATGCGACCAATTATGTAAGTGTATTTATGTAAGTGCGTTTGTACGTGTATGTTTGGGGGTCTGAAATGGACTAATCTACTTCACAATATTTCTTATGGGAACAAATTCGGTCAGTACTGGCACCTGAACATACTTCTGGAGTGAAAAAATATCGTTAACCGGGGGTCCACTGTATACAGACTGAAGAATACTTCTTTCAACAAACTGGCCACATCCCATCGAGGCAGGGTGGCCCAAAAAGAAAAAGGAAAGTTGATCTTTTTAAATTTAGTAATTCATACAGGACAAGGGGTTACTAGCCCCTTGCTCCCGGCATTTTAGTCACCTCTTACGACACGCATGGCTTAAGGAGGAAGAATTCTGTTCCACTTCTACATGAACACTCCCAAGTTATTGTCCTAAAATAAAAGAGTAATGAAAAAGTGGCCCAAATACAAAGTTTACTATAATTATAGTACAATAATAAAACCACCATTTATGAAGACTGCAAGGCTGACCAACTATACAGCATACATTACTCTAAGGAAACATGCTTATATTAGTATAACAGATAAAACATACACAGGTGACAGGCAAGAGTCCCTTAATTGCAGGAAGTATCACCAAAGTGTATAACATGCAAATTTAAAATACTGGCAATAACAGTGAAAATTTATCTAGACTTCTGTAATGATTTTAAGGACATCTTAACACTCAGCTAAAATAAGCTGCATTTTCCCCTGTATTAATAGTTACAGTCCTCCCTCACAAATCCAGCAATCAGTTATTCGGTTCCTTCAGTTATTCGGCACTAATTTTGGCTAGCATAATTTCAAATTTCCAGGGTCGCCACACCAACCTGCTGGTACTGTTTGGTGGCGCTACTTGCTGCATAAGTCATTCCAATTTCTTTTTCTCCATTTATTGTTTTAACCTGCTTACTTTTAGCCCTAGCCATGGTTCCAATGAATAAAAGAAATGCTTCTCATTATGTAAAGCACCTACACAGTACATTATCCATTAAAGATAAGGTGGCTTTGAAGCCACTGGAAATAAGCCAATAGAAATAAGCCACTCTGTCTGACTTTTTTGAGTTATCCTAGGTTCTCTACACATATGCTTCTATGTATGATAATTCTATGTAACTGTATTTGTGTATACCTGAATAAACTTACTTACTCAGTTGTCATGAACTCAGTCTCATGAAGCAGGAGAATATGCTTTATTATAATGCTAATATCAACACTACAGCTTATTTGCCTATCACAATTGATCTAATATGACATAATAAACAATATAAATAACATAAAACATGTTAAATACTCCAGAATAAATAATGTTTGGCAAAATACCGAGCAGTTCGACAGAGTTATGAAGAGGATATGGTAAACAAATACCATATCCCTATCCTTGTCTTGGTGGCTTATATTAGAGAAAACGGAGTATAGCACTGGGCTAACTATGATATACACTCGTACTCCACCATAAACATGAAACAAAAAAGTTATTTTCTCTCTATAGATTATCACACAGCAGCATATGTGTAGAGAACCTAGGATAACCCCAAAAAAAGTCAACGTGGCTTATTTCTAGTACCTGGCTTGGGTTAGCCATATATGATTTTTGGTAAATATTCGATTCCCAGCCAGGGTAGAAACACTAGGTGTGTTTCTTACACCTGTTGTCTATGTTTACCCATCAGTAAATGGGTACCTGGGTGTTAGTCAACTGGTGTGGGTGTTATCCTGGGACATTGACCTAATTTTCTTGAAATACTCTGCATAACAAGCGGCTTTCTATACAGTAGTATGTCACTGATGTCAGCTAGGCATGTATACCTTGTACATGTACGTGTAGTAAATAAAGATATTATTATTATTATTATTATTATTTTCTCAGTTGTTTGTTGGGTTATCTTATTCAAACTTGGACAATGTATGATGGAAAGATACTTCTTCACATACACCAAAAATGAAAGAAATCAGACCATAAATAGCGGAGTTCACTTCTCAGCCATTAGTGGCCACTTAGCGGTATATTTTTGTATGGTTGTTGTGGTTTTATTCTCATTTTTTCAGTCTCATTTGATAGAATGAAAGATATATTACAGAAATAGATATGATTTTGATTACTTTCATGAAGAAAAGTACCTTGAAATTGCGCTCACAGTAGCGAAAATGTTCTGTTCTTTAGTGAAGCTCAAGAGTAAACAAATGACGTCACCGTCCAATACCTGTCCGCCTGCCAGTCTAAATTCCAGTACGGAGTCAAGAATGGATTGACATTATTTATACAATTATTACAATAATGCAGTAGTCTGCATAACAGTAAATCTTCTATTTTTTTGTTAATAAAAATTCCAAATGGTAAGCAAGAGTAATATAAGAGGGGCCTGTAGCCGTGACTAATGAACAGAGAAAATGTTATTTTAGTGCCAGGAATGTCTGCATTATTTATTCTGGACACTATTTTGAAATTGGCATCTGTTGAAATTTGTGTGAAATCGGCCAAATTGCCAATTTCTGACCACTTTATTGGGTAGTTGAAATAAGTGAATGGGCGGTTTCTTGTACTCAGTTGACAGACTAGAAGTAAATAAGTTTATTCAGGTTTACACAAATACAGTTACACAGATTATCATACATAACAGTGTATGTATAGAGAACCTGGGATAACCCAGAAAAGTCAGACAAAGTGACTTATTTCCAGTACCTGGCTTAGGCTTGCCATATGATTTTTGGTAAATATTTTTTTATTCTCGGTTGTTTGTTGGGCTATCTCATTGAAACTTGGGCAATGTATGATGGAAAGATGCTTCTTAATGTACAACAAAAATAAAAAAGACGGACGATAAATAAGGGAGTTCACTTCTCAGCCATTAGCCGCCTCTTTGCAGTATGTTTTCGCATGGTTTTTATGGTTTTATGTTGTTGTTTAGGGTTGTTGAGGTGGTTCGGACATGTAGAGAGAATGGAGCGAAACAGAGTGACTTCAAGAGTGTATCAGTCTGTAGTGGAAGGAAGGCGGGGTAGGGGTCGGCCTAGGAATGGTTGGAGGAAGGGGGTAAAGGAGGTTTTGTGTGCGAGGGGCTTGGACTTCCAGCAGGCATGCGTGAGCGTGTTTGATAGGAGTGAATGGAGACAAATGGTTTTTAATACTTGACGTGCTGTTGGAGTGTGAGCAAAGTAACATTTATGAAGGGGTTCAGGGAAACCGGGCAGGCCGGACTTGATCCTGGAGATGGGAAGTACAGCATGCTGCACTCCTTCAGAGTGCAGGCACTGTACTTCCCAACACCCCTCCTTCAGAGGGGTGTTAATGTTGCAGTTTAAAAACTGTAGTGTAAAGCACCCTTCTGGCAAGACAGTGATGGAGTGAATGATGGTGAAAGTTTTTCTTTTTCGGGCCACCCTGCCTTGGTGGGAATCGGCCAGTGTGATAATAAAAAAAAAAAAATTGATAGAATGGAAGATATATCACAGAAATAGACATGATTTTGATTGCTTTCATGACGAAAAGTACCTTGAAATTGAGCTCAAAGTAGAGGAAATGTTCGATTTTTGCCGATGTTTAATGAACTTTGTGTAAGTCAAGTTGGCTAATTTTGTGAAGTGTATTCTAACCTAACCACTCTGTAATCTGGCAAACTCAGTAATCCGGCACACTACAGGTCCCAATGATGCCGGATCTGTGAGGGACGACTGGATTCAAAAGCAACACATACAGTGGTACCTCGAGTTACGAACTTAATTCGTTCCAGAAGGCTGTTTGAGTTCCGATACCAAATGAATTTGTTCCCATAAGGAATAATGTAAATTAGATTAGTCCGTTTCAGACCCCCAAAAATACACTTACAAAAGCACTTACAAAAATACACTTACATAATTGTTTGAGTTAGGAAACCGTTTGAAACTCGAAGGTACCACTGTACTTGTCCCTATAAAGTTACCTTTGTTTCCCAGGAAGCACTTGTCTCCAGTACAAAGCTGCCATGTAACACTTCCACTTTCAAATGTGGCATGCTGAAACACAATCAGTACTGATATGGCTTTAAGTCCAGTGTGCGACCAATCCACTACCCAGCTTATTTCACAACACTGCTTTTTTCTGCAATGATAAAAATTCTTTAAATATGGCAGTGAGATGTTATACAGTACCTCTAACAGATGGATATATCTATGTCCTTTGAGAATAAAAGCATAACTAAAAATGTACAAGTGAAAGGAGCACAAACATATCAAAGACATAAAATGATAATAGTATATAGTTAAGGCAGCATACATTAAGGCTAAAAAAATTATAGTTTAATTATTAAGGAAAAAATTATATTCATGTAGAGTGTAAACCTAGTGGAGTTCAGCCCTTACAGTTCAGGGTATTTATTAAATGTCCTGAGCGTATTGAGTGTCATCTCCATGTTTGTTGTGCAATTGAATTTTTAATACATATATATTTTTTAACTTCTTTTTCTTTTTTAGTAAGCTATACACGGGTTACTAGGAGATGTGGAGTTACTAAAAGCATTAGTCAGAGGGCTGAAGAGGGGCTGTTGAGGTGGTTTGGTCATTTAGAGAATGGAACAAAGTAGAATGACTTGGAGAGCCCATAAATCTGTAGGGAAAGGAAGGCGGGGTAGTGGTCATCCCCGAAAAAGTTGGAGGGAGGAGGTAAAGGAGGTTTTGTGGACGAGGGGCTTGGACTTCCAGCAAGCTTGCGTGAGCATGTTAGATAGGAGTGAATGGAGATGAATGGTTTTTGGGACCTGACGAGCTGTTGGAGTGTAAGCAGGGTAATATTTTGTGAAGGGATTCAGGGAAACTGGTTAGCCAGACTCGAGTCCTGGAAATGGGAAGTACACTGCCTGCACTTTAAAGGAGGGGTTTGGGATATTGGCAGTTTGGAGGGACATCTAAACTGTCATATCTGAGCACCTCTGCAAAGATAGTGATAATGTATGAGTGATAGTGAAAGTGTTGAATGATGATGAAAGTTTTTTCTTGCTTTTTGGGTCACCTGCCTCAGTGGGAAATGGCCGACGTGTTAAAAAAAAATTAATCAAGGCTTAAAGTATATGTATACTGATTAAGCAAAGGAGGGGAAAAGAATTTATGGGAGAGACTGATCTTATAAGAGGAAAGTAAGAATTAAAAAACAAAAAAAAAAAAAAGTCAATCAAATATTGTACTGAATAGATTACATCTTATAAAAAGTTGTCTGCAAGAAAGCAAGGCTTACGATTTGTAATGAATGAGCCTCCATCATCCTTGCAGTGACTTAGTACAAGTTTGTGCTTAAATCAAGCAAAATAATAAAAGTAATAATAGTAGTAATATGTTATAGTCCAGCCCTAGTAGTGGTTGGTAGACAGCAACCCCGGAGTACTACGTCCTGCAAGTGATGTATACAAGAAGCCTGAAATTGTTTTACATGATGGTAGGATCTGTGTTTTTGTTCTGTCCATAAACCATGTCAAGATTTCAGGTTGGGTCTGCTACTCTACTTGCACTTGGGGTCACACTACACATACATGTACAAGCATGTGTTGCACACACCCTCTGGGATTTTCTTTATCTTCTTTCTAGTTCTTGCTCTTGTTTATTTCCTCTTACCTCCATGGGAAAATGGAACAGAATTTTCCTCCGAAGCCATGGGTGTTTTTAAGAGTCGACTAAAATCCGGGAGCAAGGGACAGTAATCCCTTCTCCGTATATATTACTAAATGTAAAAGGCGAAACTTCGTTTTTCCTTTGGGGCCAAGCCCGGCTCGGTGGATACGCCGTTGTGTTGAAAGAAGAAGAAAAGGAGAAACTTTCGTTTTTCCTTTTGGGCCACCCCACCTCAGTGGGATATGGCCGGTGTGTTGAAAGAAAGAAGAAAAGGAGAAACTTTCATTTTTCCTTTTGGGCCACCCTGCCTCGGTGGGATATGGCCAGTGTGTTGAAAGAGAAAGAAAATGTTATAGTCATAGAAAACAGAATCTACAGTAAAAGAATTAAGAAGCACTTTTATACTAGCCATTTCCTACCACAACACCACAACAGGGTGACCCAAAGAAGGAAATACATTCACCATCACTCATCAATAGCAGTCTTAAGAGAAGTACGTGAACATCATAATTCTAAAGACTTTGAATTGCACAATTCTTGCCCATCCTCCAGTGTACATGCACTATATGAACTAAGAAAAAAGGAGTACTGATCCACACTCTTATATAAAGGAGAGATTCAAGCTTCTTGCTTTTTGTTACCTTTATTGATATGTTGTTTTCCAAACATGTTCAACACCATTAATTCTAGCTGCTCTAGTGTTATGAATCATTCACCATGGGTTCCAACCCCACCCTTTCCATGGTTTGTACAAGAATTGTAGTCCAATATGGTTTAGTCATATAGAAAGAATGGAGCATTATAATGAAGGGGTAAATATGAAGTGGATAGAAGCAGGTATAGGGAATACCAAGAAAGAGTAGGAAGAATGTGAATGATGGGCTTGAAGAACCAATAGACACATGGAAGCTTATCCCATCAGTATGGAAGCAAGTATCCTTTAAGATTTGAAGCACTGTTGGGGTGTGAGTATAATTCATTGGCAGTCTTCAAATTTTGGAGTTATAAAGTATTATGCTGTTTGATAGCTCACAGCTAGATCAATAAGTCTGTGCCCATCTGGAAAGGTGGTTAGGGAATCAATGATGAAGCATACTTTGTTTGAGGAAGGGATCACTCTGCTTTAAGATTAACATGTTTAGCTTTAGGCTTTTCTATTTTGGGCACTCATGGAAAAATATCCTAGAACATACAAGGCATCAGTGATACAATAGAGAAGATGAAGAACAAAGGTTAACTATTGTAAATCATGACTTACTCATTCCTTCTTTTGAGTACCTCATTTTGTTTAGTGGTATATCTCCATGTAACATCAACAACTTCATCTCTTGAAAAAGCAAATATATATGTCAACTTCTTTCCCCAGCCATTTTCATATATCAGTGGATTATCCAGTTTATTCTCACAGCAATCAGCATGTAACCATCGATTTTGAGATTGCGAGAAAACTTCAGTCCAAACATGATCAGTATAATCATGTACATATCTGAAACAATAAAATATAAAAGACTACCATGATCACAACTCATGAAATAGCTTATACTGGAAATATTTACATTAAAAATTAATATATTTTGATTAATTGTAGTACATAAATTATGTAGCCTTATTGTTAAATATCATTTCTGAATGTTGTTGATAATTTTAAAACAAGCTTCTTAAGTAGCTTGATAGGACTGCTGGATCAAGCTACTTAAGAAACTTGCTTTAATATTATCAACAACATTCAGACACGATATTCTAAAATTTATTTTCTAAAATAAATAAAATGACTGAATTATTATTATTTTTTTTTTGTGAACGTGCTGGCTGTCTCCCACCAAGGTAGGGTGACTCCCTCCAAAACAAAAGAAGAAAAAAAAGAAACACACTCACCATTATTCACACTATCACTGTCTTTGCAGAGGCATGCAGACACAACAGTTTAGATGTCACTCTAAACAGTAAATATCCCAAACCCCTTCTGTAAAGCACAGGCATTGTACTGCCCACCTCCAGGACTCAAGTCTGGCTAACCAGTTTCCCTGAATCCCTTAACAAAATATTACCCTGTTCACACTCCAATAGCTCATCAGGTCCCAAAACCCATTTGTCTCCATTTACTCTTGTCTAACATGCTCACATATGCCTGCTGCATGTCCAAGCCCCTTGCACACAAAACCTCTTACCCCCCATCCCTCTATCCTTTCCTAGGATGCCCCCTACCCCTACTCTCCTCCACTACAGATTTATACACCCTCCAAGTCATCCTATTTTGCTCCATCCTCTCTAAATGACCAAACCACCTCAACAATCCCTCTTCAGCCCTCTGCATAATACTTTTAGTAACTCCACACCTCCTAATTTCCACACTACGAATTCTCTGCCTAATATACACCACACATTGGCCTTAGACACGACATCTCCACTGCCTCCAGCATCCTTGCTGCAGCATTCACAACCCATGCTTCACACCCATGGGTACCACTATACTCTTGTATACTGTTGGTACTACTATACTCTTGTATATTCCCTTCTTTGCCTCTATGGATGTGGAGAAAATTCTCCAGTAAAGGGAGCATCTCTCAGCCCTTCTCAGCCCTCTGAAGGACATAGCCCTCCCGAAAGGGGCTAGTGGACTCTTCCTTCCTCGCAAACAGCTTGATTAACCCACATGTTTGTACGAATTTTAAATATCTGTAAATCTGAAAAACTGTCTTGGTGGCTTCAAGCTTGAGATTTTGACTGCATGTCTAACCCTGGCTTTGTCAACATCAAGGTAATTGTATGTTAAGACTCTTAAATCTTATTGATAATTATCTTTGACCACTGGAAACGATTTAATCAGTTCATAGGGTTCTCCCTTTACAAGACATTTGAGATAATGGATAACGTTTTTTGTCTCTAAACATGCCTCAATGCATCACTCATCCTTTTTCCTTCATCAATTCTATGGTTAACCTCATCCTTCATAAACCCATCTGTTGACAAGTCAACTCCCAAATATCTGAACACATTCATTTCTTCCATACTCCCTCCCTTCCTGCAATGTGATACCCAATTTTTCCTTGTTTGATACCCTCATCACCTTACACTTATTTATGTTCACTTGCAACTTTCTTCCTTTACACACCCTCCCATCTCTCACTGAGGCAGGGTGACCTGCAAAAAAGAAGAAATACTTTCACCATCATTCACTCAATCATTGCCTTGCCAGAGGCATGCCTATACTGAGGTTAAGATGTCTCTCCAAACTGCAAATATCCCCATCCTGCATTTTTTTTTAACACACCAGCTGTCTCCCATCAGGGTAGGGTGACCCCCAAACAAGAATAAACACTTTCACCATCGTTCACTCTATGACTGCACTGTCTTGCCAGAGGCCTGCTGACACACGGTTCAGATGCCCCTCCAAACTGCAAATATCCCCACAGTAAACTTAATCCAGTGGAACCTCAAAAATCGAACTTAATCCGTTCCAGGAGCTAGTTCTAATTTCGAAAAGTCTGAAATTCGAAGCAATATTTCCCATAAGAAATAATGGAAATACAATTAATCCGTTCCAGAAACCCAAAAATATTCACAAAAAAAATACATTTTATAGAGATTAATTACAGTTTTACATACACACAACAAATGCTATAGTCTTTAATTGCGTATAGTAATATAAAATAACATTTTTACTTACCCTTATTGAAGATTGGTGATGGCATCTGGAAGATAGGTAGGAGGAGAGAGGGAGTTGGGGTTATTGTTTGGAAGGAGAATCCCCCTCCATGAGGACTTCCGATATCAAAGCCCTCTCTGGGGTTGCTTCCCTTCTCTGTATTTTAATGCCATTAGGACCAGCTTGAGAGTCATTGGACCCCAGTCTTACAAAATAACTGTCTACAGTCCTCTGTTTCTGTCTCACAAAATAACTATCCAGAGTCATCTGTTTCTGTCTCACAAAATAACTGTCCACAATCATCTGTTTGTCTCACAAAATAACTCCACAGTCGTTTGTTTCTGTCTTACAAAATAATTGTCCAGGTCCCGTACCCGGCGGTCCGAAATTTGAAACGCGTTCGATTTTTGGTACACAGTTTGTCCGAAAAAATGGTCTTATTTTGAAACGTTCGATATTTGGTACATTCGATTTTCAAGGTTCCACTGTATTATGAAAAGTACTCCAACTTCAAAGAGGATTTAATTGTTGTAATTTTGTACCTTGCATCCATGCCAAGAGTACGGCACAAGTGGGTAAAGCAGTTTGCCCATTCCCCACAACGGCCTTGCCGTGTTTCTAGAAGTTTGGCAGGATGGTTGTAACGTACAAAACGGTCAGTAGTACCACAATCCTGAAAAAAATAAAAATAATACAGAAAAAGGTTCTGAAGAACTTTTTGTCTATACTTATGTAATGTATTGTTCTTTTTACTAATTCTTGCACTCAACTGAAAGAAATATGAAAACTTTTTCAAATGTTATCAATCTGTTTTTAAAAGCCTCATGATGACTAAGTTCTTGAATGTTATTTGAATGATTCAAATTATGATTTGTTTCTGCTTAGATATATCCTGAGCTTTAAAACATAGAAATATGAATCTGAAACTTTTTTTTTTTTTTTTTTTTACACAGGGTTTGACAAGGTTAAGGAACCCTAGCTTTATTGAGAAGCTATTTACAGGTTAAGGATCCCTAGCTTTATTGGCAAGCTATTTACAGGTTAAGGATTCCTAACTTTATTGGCAAGCTAAGAGCTGTTACCTACATCAGCTCATTTGAAAGCATTTTTATTGTTATGAGACATACAAGTAGGGAACAGGATGAAATTGGAGCCATCTGTGGGCCAGCATTTTCATTTGGTCAACTGACTTTATCTTATTTAAGCATGGTAAATTGTCTCTGACCAACATGTGTCTCTGGATTACAACACTATTACAGGGTCTGTGCTTCAATTCTAGAAAAAACATTTATTCATAAATACACAGTACGGGTCATTTTTTAATAAATTTAAGGAAAAAATTAATAGGATATGGGTATACTGTGTTTTCTGCAAAACCCAGAGTATATAATCATTTTGGGCAGAAATAAAAGATAACATGCAAATAATTTTAAACCATACTACAGTACTGTTAGTCTGCCAGTGGGCACATTTTTTGGGGCAGGGGTTGGAGGATGCAGAGAGGCTACTTACTATTTTGATATTGTAGAAGATAATTGTAGTTTCTGTTCACTCCATTTTGATATACTAGGTATCCATGGCATAGTTATTAAGTATTTTTTAGTACCAGAAAACATGGAAAAGCAAAAAGCTTCTACCAACATGTAATTCTGAATACACTAACAAGCAGATTTTTTTACATTAACCATTTTACACCAAGGTAGGGTGACTCAAAGAAAAATACATTCATTATTAGTCCTTCAATACATGTCTCTCCAGAAAGGCCTAACATCACAATTCAAATGACCTTCTGAAAATGCAGATGTCTAACAAATGCAGTATTTCTAACAGACTATACCAAATACCATAAATATGCAATGACTTACTCGGCAAGAATAACCTTCAACACGACTCCCACCCCAAGCAAGATCATCTTCAGTGGGCAGTAGGGATCCAGCAGATGTCATTTTAGAGTGACACTGTGGGCATGTTGGAGCATCGAACCACTTGAAGAAATCATTCTTGAACCATGCCAGTAACTCCACTAATACACAGTCCTACAAAGAAAACACACACAAATTGTGAAATACTGTATTATTGTACTTTACCAGTTATTTTTATCTACTTGTTATATTCTTGCCAAATTTAATTTAAAGAAAAAGAACAAACTAGCACAGATTTCCTTATTAACCCTTTGGGGGTCGACAGGTCCTCTCAGAGACTTGTTCTCAGGGTCGGCCAAATTTAAAAAAAAAAAATTATTTTTTCTTATGAAAAGATAGAGAATCTTCTCCCGATCATAATGACACCAAAGTATGAAATTTGATGGAAAACTTACGGAATTATGGTCTTGCAAAGTTAGCGGTCTCAACGATGTTTACACACCGGCGATTTTGCCCACTTTGAGCCCTATTTTCGGCCAATTCCAGTGTACTAGTCGACAAAAATCATAACTATTTCGCTAGAACTCCATTTTTTCTATCGAATGAGTACAAGAAACCACCCATTTACTGATTTCAACTATCCAATAAAGTGGTCAGAATTTAGCAATTTTGCCAATTTCACACAAATTTCAAAAGATGCCAATTTCCGAATAGGGTCCAGAATAAACAAGAAAGACATTCCTGGCACTAAAATAACAAGTTTTCTGTTCGTTAGTCACATCCCCAGGCCCCTCTTATATTTCTTTGGCTTTTGACTTTGAATTTTTATTCTTACAAAAAAATAAGATTTACTGTTATGCAGATTACTGCATTAGTGTAGAAATGATATAAATAATATCAGCGCACTTGTGAAAGAATATTAGACTCACCAGTTGATGTGTATTGGACGCTTGGCATGATTTGTTTACTTTTGAACTTTGGTAAAAATCGAACATTTCTATTTTGTCCTCAATTTCAAGGTACTTTTCATTGTAAAACCAGTCAACATCACCTCAATTTCTGTAATATGTCTTCCATTCTATAAAATGAGACCAAGAAAACTAGAATACAACAATAAATACCATACGAAAATACAGTGCAAAGTCGCTGTTTTAATCCAAAAACACGGTCAAAGTTTTTTTTTCTTATTACGCACTGTGTGCTGCAGGATTTTTTTTATACTGTGACCACTGACCACATATCCCATTCTTTCATATGTAGGCCTACCAGCTTTCTCTCACTAGATTTGAGGGCGCTAGAATTTAGGCGTACTAGTACGTCAAAAACCCTGGGTCGTAAGATGTACTAGTACGTCCGAAACCCCCAAAGGGTTAATAAATATTCAATGAAACAAGAGGGCAGAAGTAGCACTTAAAATTTGTTAAATATCCTTATTTATTTATTTATTTGCAAAGGTTAGTGACGAGTTTGGGAGGGTGTGTAAAGGTAGAAAGTTGAATGTGAACATAGATAAGAGTAAGTTTATGACAGTATCAAATGATTTAGATAAAGAAAAACTGGATATCACATTGGAGAGAGGGAGTATGGAAGAAGTGAATGTTTCCAAATATTTGGGAGTTGATGTGTCAGCAGATGGGTTTATGAAGGATGAGGTTAACCATAGAATTGATGAAATAAAAAAGGTAAGTGGTGCGTTGAGGTATAAGTGGAGACAAAAACGTTATCAATGGAGGCAAAGAAGGGAATGTATGAAAGTATAGTGGTACCAACTCTCTTATATGGGTGTGAAGCTTGGGTTGTAAATGCTGCAGCGAGGAGGCGGTTGGAGGCAGCGGAGATGTCCTGTCTAAGGGCAATGTGTGGTAAATGTGTGTAAATATTATGCAGAAAATTAGGAGCGTGGAAATTATAAGGTCTGGAATTAATAAAAGTATTAGTCAGAGGGCTGAAGAGGGGTAGTTGAGGTGGTCTGAGTGTATAAATCTGTAGGGGAAGGAAGGCAGGATAGGGGTTGTCCTCGAAAAGGTTGGAGGGAGGGGGTAAAGGTGGTTTTGTGGACGAGGGGCTTGGAATTCCAGCAAGCGTGCGTGAGCGTGTTAGATAGGAGTGAATGGAGACGAATGGTTTTTGGGACCTGACGAGCTGTTGGAGTGTGAGCAGGGTAATATTTAGTGAAGAGATTCAGGGAAACTGGTTATTTTTATATAGCCAGACTTGAGTACTGGAAATGGGAAGTACAATGCCTGCACTTTAAAGGAGGGGTTTGGGATATTGGCAGTTTGGAGGGCTATGTTATATATCTTTATATATGATAAAGTGATAGTAGGTAGTAGGTTGGTAGACAGCAACCACCCAGGGAAGTACTACCGTCCTACCAGATGACTGTGAAACAGAAACCTGTAACTGTTTTGCATGATGGTAGGATTGCTGGTGTCTTTTTCTGTCTCATAAACATGCTAGATAACAGGGATATCTTGCTACTCCAACTTACACTTTGGTCACACTTCACAGACACGCACATGCATATATATATACATACATCTTGGTTTTTCTCCTTTTTCTACATAGCTCTTGTTCTTTATTTCTTCTACTGTCCATGGGGAAGTGGAAAAGAATCTTTCCTCCGTAAGCCATGCGTGTCGTATGAGGTGACTAAAATGCCGGGAGCAATGGGCTAGTAACCCCTTCTCCTGTAGACATTTACTAAAAAAGAGAAGAAGAAAAACTTTATAAAACTGGGATGCTTGAATGTGCGTGGATGTAGTGCAGATGACAAGAAACAGATGATTGCTGATGTTATGAATGAAAAGAAGTTGGATGTCCTGGCCCTAAGCGAAACAAAGCTGAAGGGGTAGGGGAGTTTCGGTGGGGGGAAATAAATGGGATTAAATCTGGAGTATCTGAGAGAGTTAGAGCAAAGGAAGGGGTAGCAGTAATGTTGAATGATCAGTTATGGAAGGAGAAAAGAGAATATGAATGTGTAAATGCAAGAATTATGTGGATTAAAGTAAAGGTTGGATGCGAGAAGTGGGTCATAATAAGCGTGTATGCACCTGGAGAAGAGAGGAATGCAGAGGAGAGAGAGAGATTTTGGGAGATGTTAAGTGAATGTGTAGGAGCCTTTGAACCAAGTGAGAGAGTAATTGTGGTAGGGGACCTGAATGCTAAAGTAGGAGAAACTTTTAGAGAGGGTGTGGTAGGTAAGTTTGGGGGTGCCAGGTGTAAATGATAATGGGAGCCCTTTGATTGAACTTTGTACAGAAAGGGGTTTAGTTATAGGTAATACATATTTTAAGAAAAAGAGGATAAATAAGTATACAAGATATGATGTAGGGCGAAATGACAGTAGTTTGTTGGATTATGTATTGTTGAGTAGACTTCAGGATGTACATGTTTATAGAGGGGCCACAGATATATCAGATCACTTTCTAGTTGTAGCTACACTGAGAGTAAAAGGTAGATGGGATACAAGGAGAATAGAAGCATCAGGGAAGAGAGAGGTGAAGGTTTATAAACTAAAAGAGGAGGCAGTTAGGGAAAGATATAAACAGCTATTGGAGGATAGATGGGCTAATGAGAGCATAGGCAATGGGGTCGAAGAGGTATGGGGTAGGTTTAAAAATGTAGTGTTAGAGTGTTCAGCAGAAGTTTGTGGTTACAGGAAAGTGGGTGCGGGAGGGAAGAGGAGCGATTGGTGGAATGATGATGTAAAGAGAGTAGTAAGGGAGAAAAAGTTAGCATATGAGAAGTTTTTACAAAGTAGAAGTGATGCAAGGAGGGAAGAGTATATGGAGAAAAAGAGAGAGGTTAAGAGAGTGGTGAAGCAATGTAAAAAGAGAGCAAATGAGAGAGTGGGTGAGATGTTATCAACAAATTTTGTTGAAAATAAGAAAAAGTTTTGAAGTGAGATTAACAAGTTAAGGAAGCCTAGAGAAAAAATGGATTTGTCAGTTAAAAATAGGAGAGGAGAGTTATTAAATGGAGAGTTAGAGGTATTGGGAAGATGGAGGGAATATTTTGAGGAATTGTTAAATGTTGATGAAGATAGGGAAGCTGTGATTTCGTGTATAGGGCAAGGAGGAATAACATCTTGTAGGAGTGAGGAAGAGCCAGTTGTGAGTGTGGGGGAAGTTCGTGAGGCAGTAGGTAAAATGAAAGGGGTTAAGGCAGCCGGGATTGATGGGATAAAGATAGAAATGTTAAAAGCAGGTGGGATATAGTTTTGGAGTGGTTGGTGCAATTATTTAATAAATGTATGGAAGAGGGTAAGGTACCTAGGGATTGGCAGAGAGCATGCATAGTTCCTTTGTATAAAGGCAAAGGGGACAAAAGAGAGTGCAAAAATTATAGGGGGATAAGTCTGTTGAGTATACCTGGTAAAGTGTATGGTAGAGTTATTATTGAAAGAATTAAAAGTAAGACGGAGAATAGGATAGCAGATGAACAAGGAGGCTTTAGGAAAGGTAGGGGGTGTGTGGACCAGGTGTTTACAGTGAAACATATAAGTGAACAGTATTTAGATAAGGCTAAAGAGGTCTTTGTGGCATTTATGGATTTGGAAAAGGCGTATGACAGGGTGGATAGGGGGGCAATGTGGCAGATGTTGCAGGTGTATGGTGTAGGAGGTAGGTTACTGAAAGCAGTGAAGAGTTTTTACGAGGATAGTGAGGCTCAAGTTAGAGTACATAGGAAAGAGGGAAATTATTTCCCAGTAAAAGTAGGCTTTAGACAAGGATGTGTGATGTCACCGTGGTTGTTTAATATATTTATAGATGGGGTTGTAAGAGAAGTAAATGCGAGGGTCTTGACAAGAGGCGTGGAGTTAAAAGATAAAGAATCACACATAAAGTGGGAGTTGTCACAGTTGCTCTTTGCTGATGACACTGTGCTCTTGGGAGATTCTGAAGAGAAGTTGCAGAGATTGGTGGATGAATTTGGTAGGGTGTGCAAAAGAAGAAAATTAAAAGTGAATACAGGAAAGAGTAAGGTTATGAGGATAAAAATATTAGGTGATGAAAGATTGGATATCAGATTGGAGGGAGAGAGTATGGAGGAGGTGAATGTATTCAGATATTTGGGAGTGGACGTGTCAGCGGATGGGTCTATGAAGGATGAGGTGAATCATAGAATTGATGAGGGGAAAAGGGTGATTGGTGCACTTAGGAGTCTGTGGA